ATAAATGTGTTATTTTAAGCTGCCGAGTTTGTGGCAGGTTGTTATATAGCCTAGAACACATGTAGCTTCAAAACTAAGAACAAATCTGAGGCTTTGTACTTGGATAATTGATTCCTCTCTGGTTTGTTATATTCTCTCCAGTTTGTTGCCCCTAGTGCAGCTTAAGTGTTCATTTCAAAATGCAAATGTGATATTCTCTTTTTTAAAATCTCATTTATGATTTACATTGTTTTCTGGAAGAAACAGAATCCTTAATATTGCCCTGCATGATCTATTCTTATCATATTCTATGTTTCCCTTTGCCTGCTGTGCTGTGGTCATACTGGCTGTATTTAGGTTCTCAGATGTTCTTTGTTTCTTTGTGCCACAGGGCTTTTGCACTTGCTATTTTCTCTGGTCTTAAACTATTGCTATTCTTTTGTGGTTTAAAAAAGATTTGTTTTCGAAATAATTTTTCTGCCGTATTCCGAAGAATGTTGCTATTTCCCCCGTTTCCATTTCAGAGGCTGAAACATGAGCAGAACCTTCACAGATATTTACTTTTCTGGCTGAAGAACTGGCTTATTCTTTAGGAAAGCATAATGTTTGTTTCTCTATTATCTTTTTCAAGAAGGTGAGGAAGCAGATAGCTCTTATAGTCACAGATGGTTTGTTTTGTTAAATCCTAAAATATCTCTTGAGACCAAAATCCAATTGCGAAGGTGTATAAACATCTCACTCAGTATAAGCCCTAGAGATCTGCTGTACAACATTGTACCTAGTTAACAATAATGTATTTTACACTTAAGAATTTAAGAGGGTAGACCTAATGTAAGTGTTCTTATAGAATAAGATGTATATAAAATAAATAAAATATCTCAGTCACAGTACTATAATATATGGAAATCAGGGTGAAGAGAACACATGGTGATCGTAAGTAGGTTCTTATGCTCTTCAACAGTGTTAATGACAAGTCATCTGCTGGGATTCCCTGAGTCTGCTGATGCAGGAGATCTGGGAGGTACTGGGCATGACTTGCCATGTCTGAGTTACAAAACATCTCATTTTGCAACATTATGACAAATGCCAGTGTCTTGCAAGGATGCTTAGGACTCCTGAGGGTGACTGCAGATGCTCTCAATGAGTGCCAGGCATGAATGCCAAAACAGCCTCAGCTTACACTTCCCCGAACCCCTTGCCTTTCTTTTTCTCGAGTGAAGAAAAGAGAAAGTGCTAGTGGCAAAACCATAGCACTTTTTTTTTTTTTTTTTTGCGGTATGCGGGCCTCTCACTGCTGTGGCCTCTCCCATGGTGGAGCACAGGCTCTGGACGCGCAGGCTCAGCGGCCATGGCTCACGGACCCAGCCACTCCGCGGCATGTGGGATCTTCCCGGACCGGGGCACGAACCCGTGTCCCCTGCATCGGCAGGCGGACTCCCAACCATTGCGCCACCAGAGAAGCCCCAAGGGCAAATTTTGAATGCCAGATAAGTCTCATGCATGCCACCACTCCCCTTACCCTCCCCCATCATTCTTCACGGCAAACATCACTGACTGATTTTGACACTGTTTGCCACTGAACCCAGGTTTCAGACGCCGTCTCAACATATCACAGCAGGCATCCTTCATCCAGTTTTTCTTTTCCCATTAAATGGAAAATGAGACCAGCTTACATATACATAAAATGTAAGTCAGTGTTTTTCAAACAGTATAGATTTCTTTATTGCAAGATTAGTTAGTCTTCAATACTTGGATGTCTAATATGCTCTTCTAAAAGGGACTAAAATACATAGCACTTTCTCATCTCACTTGATCACAGAAACCCTTTTAAATTGAATATGCACGAGTTCCTTGTAACACAATTTGGGAAATACTGTACTTTACACTGATGGATATTTCTGCTTGAAGCTTCTCATGTTTATGGGTGATCCAGGTGGTCATTCAACATTTTGTAAGCATTGGTTTTGTAAATAATGATGTGGATTTGAATCATATGCTATAAGGCTGTGCCTGAGAGCCAGTCAGATAACAAGTCAGCCTAGTGTATCACACTGTATTCACATTTCAAAGAGGATTACTTTTTGCCAACTATCTTCACTGAGAATTTACTTGGAACCAAAAATATACTAAGCACCTATGTCTCATTTAAGCCGAGTGACCGTGTATCTCAGCTTATGCTGGAGGTATGCCTGCCTTTTTTTTTTTTTATCACAATCATTAGCAGTACTGCATTTTGTGTCCTATTATTAATTAAATAATATTTTTACTTTTAATTCTCAAACCACCTATGATGTTGGTATTGATAACCCCACTTTACTAATGATTAAATAGGGCTCAGGGAAACTGGAAAACTGGCTTAGTTTACATAGCTAGGATATAGGTGAGCCAATATTCAAACTACGTTGGTCTTTCCTCAAAGTTCATGCTCTTGAATGCAATACTGCACTTCTCATGTAAGCACATGATGTCATTTAATACCTGTAAAATTATGTAAGAATCTGCATTTTGAAGATGAGAATATTGAGGAAATCATATACTGTAATTTATAAATTTGAAGCCTATTTTATTTATTTATTTATTATTGGTTTTGGCCGAGCCTCACAGCTTGCAGGATCTCCGGGATCTCCCCGACCAGGGATCAAACGTGTGCCCCGTTCAGTGGAAGCACGGAGTCCTAACCACTGGACGGCCAGGGAAGTCCCAGGTCTATTGTATTTAGAATTTTGTTTTTGCTGTCTTTTGTGTGGCAGTCCCTGCCTTTAAAGGTCAGCTCCACAAAATAAGGAAGGCCAACAAGTATGGTTGGCAGGTACAGTTACAGAAAGTACTGCAAGGGGGGCCTCCTACCAGCCCTGTGCTAATTAGCTGGGAGTGACCAGATCAGGCTCATGAGCAGACCTCTTTCCTAAATATTTACCCATTTAGAAAAGCAATATGCAGTAAAATTCAGGTAAGTCCAAGTTATTAAAATCAGACCCCCTGAGCATTAGAAGAAGGAACTCAGATGAGCAAGTGCTTAGAGCATGAATAGGATATAATAATGACTTAAGTTACAAGGTCATTTTCATTAGAACAACACTGAGAACAGTCTCATTTTCTAAAAATTGGAGTCTGCACTGGTAGCATAATCTAATGTTTGATTTACAAAAATGTATAAGTCACCTGTTCTTTTGAGTACTTAATGGTCAAGTTACACCATATGCACTTCAAAATATAAACACTGATTTATGCTATCACATGGGTTTCCACTTCCAGAAAATTCCATATAAAGTTAACTGTTTTTATTTTAATAACATTCTTTTAAGTGTTAATCCCATTTTACTTTATAGTGTAGATCAGAGTTTCCCAACCTCGAAGTGTTGACATTTTGGACAGGACATTTCTTTGTCTTGTAGTTTATTGGATGTTCATTAGCATCCCTTGTCTCTACACACTAGATGCCAAGAGCACCTTCTCTGAAGTCATGACAATAAAAAGTGCCTCCAGATGCCCTAGTTGAGAACCACTGGTCTAGATGCTTCTTCTTCTTTATCCTAGAAAACTAAGTAGAAAAGAAGGGAATTAATTTTAAACATAAAATTCTTTTGATAACATTTAATACCAGTCCAAATTTCTTTAGAAGTCAGAGTCAAGTAAATTTAAGAGGAAGGGACTGGTTCTTGTGTACATTAAGAGTAATGGATTGGGAACAAATCCAAATTGAGAAAGGGATGACAGGAAAGATAAGGTATTTTATTACCTACTGGTTGCTCAGGCTTCCAGAATCAGCACAAAATCTTCAGAAGATTTCCCATACAGGTGTTTCCTTTCTGGCAGTGACTGGGGCTCTTAGGCAAATGCCCCAAATCTCCAAGGAAAGCTCACATCTTCCTAGTCTACTAGTCTAGATCCTGACATATGATCTCTTCCATCACTAAGAACAAACTTCTGTAGCGTGGCTCAAATTTGATAGACAGTATTCTGTATGTTAAGAATAAAGCCCAGAGATTAAAAAATATTGCTTCCTTCTGGGTATTCTTATCTGGGATCATTCCTAAATTTGGATTACCCTTCCTCCGCCTTTGCGTTTCTCTACTTTTCATCTCTTCCTTCAATGCAACAGGCTTGATGTGAACTTCTCTGATCCCCCAACTCCAAACTTCTCTGTCTACTATGATCTGGACAAGCCTAATAAGTCAAGGAGGGGAGGGACCATGATTCAGGAGTCATAGGGAGGACCTCAGTTATTTTTGGTTTCTTTTCCTCCCTTTCATTGTGATGACAAAGTAATAAGATTTCAAGGACCAGAGTATCTAGGAAAAGAGACTATTAAAGGGGCTTTTTGCCATGGTTTTATTCTAAACTAGCCCAGTTCAGAAGGATAGAACTTAGAGGTGCTGACTTTAGATTTCTTTCCATGTTAAAAAACTGAATAACATTCTTGCTTTATCTCCCACTTCCACCCTGAATTGCGTCTCAGGTAAGAAATGATCTAATTGCTTTGTAATTAGAAAAGTTGCCATTTTACCTGTTACTGGATTTCACGTTTTTAATAAGAATAAAATTGACAGTGGAATTGTAGGCACCAGTCACAGGCCTATATGGAAATTCTTACTTTAGAGATAATAGACACATTTGAATTTTATAGATGAAGAAAATTATAGAAAAGCAGTTGGTTTTCCTATTGCTTTTCATGACTCTTTGGGTGGGACAATCCACAGAAATGGGGGCTCAGTATGTGGACGGGCATTCCATTTCTTGAAAGCTTAGATGTGAAACTATGGACCAAATTTCCAAATGTCATAATCAAGAAGCACCTTCCATTAGGGATTGATCAAACTACTATGTTATTTTTTTAAAACTTGAGCTTAAGAGTGTTAATGGTCATGAGAAACTTATGGGCAGTGTTTTGCAGAATCACTTAAAATATATATCCCTATAAATCACTGTTTAGAAGCTAGAAAAAAATCATTTGTGTGTTTACTTTATGGGCCCTACACAGTGAAATTAAAAAAAATATTTGGTAGACTTCTCTCTGTAAACTGGTAAGCAGAAGAATTTAGTGGTTAATTCTCATACATTTATTTTGAAAAGTCAGACATAGCTTTAAACATTTATTTAATTTGCAGTGGGTAGAAATCATAGAATGATAAAACCACATTCTATTCTAAGCTTATAAATTGCTTCTAAGAAATGGAATGATGAAATTATAAACCTTTTAATAGAGAATATAGGTTGTGGAAATGTATATTAATTTAAGACACAGAGTTAAAAAAATAATGTTCTCAAGGTTATATGCAAACAGGCTCTAAAAAATGGAAGGTTGCTGCAAACATGATGTGACAATAATTAGAGCTCTGAATGTGAGAAATTCAGAAAATAGACCACCCAATGGAAAAGCAAATATGTACAAAACAAATTTGTATTTTTTATGCTTATTCTTATTGTAGCGGGGAGTAAACGATTAAGGTTAGCCCATTAAACAGGCCCAGTAGCTTTGCTACAGAGCATTTAACTTCTCTGCTCTTGTTTTTCTTCAATTTTAAAGATGGGAAATAGCTGCTTCAGTGGCAAAATGCATTGTAAAACGCAAGAATTTTCAAAGAATTCAATTGCTCTGCAGCATTTAATTTTCATGTTGATATACTCATCTGAAGAGGTATAATGACAATAACTTGTGGCAATAATGAATTCTGAAATTCAAAAGCTTGCTTCTGCTTTCATAGTATAGATTTGTCCTGAAGACAGCAGGCAATCCAATGCAAGCCTGCTTCACCCAGCAGGTGTCTGCAGATTTTTGAGTTTTATTATAATAACCTGAAAATAAGATCACAGGAAATATATTAGTGACAAATGGATCATCATCTGAAATTGATTACCTAGCATAAAACCACCCCTATAATAAATCTTTCTAAAGAACAATCACCTTTACCTTGAAAAATACACATGTTTATCCTTTCAGGAGAAGACAATGAAATATTTAAGGTATTCTGTTTGCTAGACAAATGATTCCTTCACGTTCCTAATAAGCCTGCTTTAGGTTTCCTAAAAAATACAGCTGGTATTTTACCTTGTTTAGTGATCTTTCCTGCAACAGAAACCAAATTCCTTTTCAACTTGGAGTCGAGCAGGAAGCTAAGGAAAAAAAAAAATAGAGTTAGCATTTCTTCATTTTAAGGCTGAACAAAGAAACATGATAAAGTCACAGTTGCCTTTCACAGTCACAGAAAAACAGCTTTGTAGAGGCAACTGGCAAGACAGTCCTCCGTCCTTAAAGGAAAGAGTCATTGTAAAGCTCAACTACATCAAAGTCCTTCAGTTCAAATTTTCTTTTCTTTTTGAGGGAGAATAGCCTAAGCATTGGGAATCTGTATTCTTTTCCTCTTATCCAAAATCTTGCTCTCAAGATCGTCCTCCAGATCTTGTAGAATAATCTTTGTTTAACAAAGATATTTTCATAAACTCCTGGGCTAGGTGGTACCTCACAATTCTGCTACAGTCAAATGAGTCTCATGAGTCTGTGTGCTGTAGACCCATTAGGTCCATATGTGCTGTAGACCCATTAGGTCTATAGCTCATTGGTGGGCCACAGAATGATCCAGAAACGCAAATAGTTCAAGCAGTTCTTAAGGGTGAATGACTTTTATAATTACGTATGATTTATTTGAAGCATAAGAGAGCTTAAGGAGTTATTAAAATTTGGTAAACTAAAACGGGTTTGTTTTGGGCCCTAATTCTGGATTTTAGCAAGAAATCCAGCTGCCAGATGACCCTGGGTAACAGTGCAAATGTCCTACATCACATACGTAGATAGTTGGAATAGCATGATTTTTTATGAAGAAAAATTTGTGGATAGGACATCAGTGGTGTTGTCTTGAACCTGGTCTTGGTTCTCCATTGCTACTGTCTTTCCTTAGTGTTATTTCTGGCTTCTTGTTAGCAATTTACTTTTGGTTAACTTTACAATGTGAAGTAATGCATATTTATATAACAATATTTTGGCATTACATTTTTTCTTAACACTAGACTTTAAGGATTGTATAAATCGTGGTTCAAATAGGCTCATCATGTTCCTTTTGCTAAAGAAGATGTGTTTATAACTCCTCTAAGATTTATTTGGTCTGTTGAATTCGTCCACACTTGGGCCTCGGTGCCTTTTTCCTTTGAGTTCTTTCTTTGCTTTTTTCAGAACAGTTAATTTCTTTAAATTATTGCTCATGGATTTTGCACACAAATGCTTATGTGACCTATTTAGTTCACATTTGTTGGAATGTCTCAAAGCATAGTCAGCATAGAAGGCTTTCATATTCCTTCTCAACAAAGAATTCTTTTTTGCATTTTATAAAAATGAAGAAATATACAACCCACCTTATTGCCAAAGGGTATGTCATATGACACATTTTCATTGTGGGCATTTTCATTACCTAGAAATACAAACTCTGTTACTATCTCTTCACTTGTTCACACATTTAATAATTCCTTTATTTAGCACTTAAAAAATATATATGCAAAGAATAGGATATGGGTAAAGAGAAAAAATATTAAAGAGATCCAAAAGGGCATATTTAAATAGCACCCTTGACAAGTATGTATTAATTTCTCCTACACATAGGGATTGACTAGAATAGGATACTCAAGGAGTTGCTTCAGCTCAGAAACAATCCAACATCTTCGAATAACAAGCTCCACTTGATTATGCCTTTTTCTTCCTTTTCTCTTCCCCATTTACCAGAATCAGGCAATTGCAAAGCACACTTTTTTTTTTTTAAATAAAAGTTTGTTTCTACTGCTCCACCTTGGCCCATGCTACTTCCTGCTTTTCTCACAGGTTTCTCACTTTCCATCCCAGCCACGTGCCTCTCCATTCCTGCAGTCAGCCCTGTGCTTCAAGGCTGCAGGCAGTGCTTGGAGCTCATGGGACAGCCCCCAGCTGGCCTGCAGCTCCCCTCTACCCTCCCTACCTTCTGCACCCATCCTCCCCCATCACACTGAAGGGAACCCCTCCAGCTATTGCGTGCCATTCCAATTTCATTTGTCCTATCAACATCTCCCACTTATCAAGCAGTTAGCTCCATTTGCACAAATCATCATCTGTTTTCATAGTAATCTCCACGATAGAATTCTCTAATTTTTAACATCTTTATTGGAGTATAATTGCTTTACAATGGTGTGTTAGTTTCTGCTGTATAACAAAGTGAATCAGCTATACGTATACATATATCCCCATATCCCCTCCCTCTTGCATCTCCCTCCCTCCCTCCCTATACCACCCCTCTAGGTGGACACAAATCACTGAGCTGATAGAATTCTTATCTGCATTTTACAAATGAGGGAACTGGGGCTTAAAGAGTTTAAGCCAAAGGCCACAGCTAGTAAGTCGTGAAGAGCCAGGTCAGAGTTCAAAGCAGGTGCTTCTTTTACTATATCACAACGCCTCTAGCACTGCTATTCTAGAATCATCTCACATTTATTTTGGATGTCAGGTGGTTTTGCTTACAAATATAAAATCTCTGTGAGTTTTTACAGTGCTCAGCTTAATCACATTAGGTTTACATTAATATAAAAGTTGGTTTACTATGAACTTTGTTTTAGTCCTAAATCCTTCTATAAACACCAAACACTTACCACTGGGATGGTGCACAATGGTGAGCTTATCTACAAGACAAAAAAAGCACATTCTACTGAGTTTTGCTCAATATTTATCTTAAGGTTCCTTCTTCTTATTGTTTGACTACTTTTGTCCTTGAAGTGACTATGTAGTTTCACAACGTGATTTATACTAACCTCCAGCCACTAAGTGTGAAACTATGTGTTTTAAAATTTTTGTCTTTTTTCCTTCTGACACTTGTCCCATATTATTATGATTTTAGATATATTTGACACTTAATAAAAGCTTCCTACTCTTTTTTTTTGTTGTTGATGAATTCTTTTTTTAAAAAAATAGATCTTTATTGGAGTATAATTGCTTCACAATACTGTGTTAGTTTCTGTCGTACAACAAAGTGAATCAGCCATATGCACACGTATATCCCCATATCCCCTCCCTCTTGAGCCTCCCTCCCACCCTCCCTATCCCACCCCTCTAGGTGGTCACAAAGCATCGAACTGATCTCCCTGTGCCATACAGCAGCTTCCCACTAGCCATCCATTTTACATTTAGTAGTATATATCTGTTCATGCTACTCCTACTCTGCTTTCATATTCTTTTAGCCTGAGCTATTCAAGTATTTTTTAAAATTAACCTTATTCAGAACTACTTACATACAGTACAAGTCACACATTTTTAAGTGTATAGGTTGATGACTCTTGACAAATCTATACAGCATATACCCATCACCCCCATTAGCACAGAGAACATTTCATCTCCACAGAAAACTCCCTTGCGCCCCCTTACCTCAATTCTCACCCACCATTACCCGTGATGGCCCCTGAGCTGATTTCTATCTCTGTAGATTTGTTTTATCTAGAAGTCCAGATAAACGGGATCTTACAGCAGGTATTCTTCTGTGTCTGGTATCTTTCACTCAGCATAATACCTGTGAGATGCATTCTGGTTGTGTGTGTGATAGTAGGGATCCCTTTTTACTACTGAGTAGTATTCCATTGTGTGAATATATCACAATATAATTACCTAATCTCCTATTGGACATTTGCATTGTTTCCACTTTGGCTATTATGAATGAAACTGCTATGAACTTTCATGAACATGTTTTTGAATGAACATATTTTCCATCTTTTCTTTCTCTTGAATAGCTAGGTTATCTTTCAATAGTAAGTGCATATTTAATATTTCTAAAGTCCTCACAACACTTTATACTCCCATCAGCAATGCATGCAGTGCATGTCCAGTTCTTCCACATTCTAACTGCTTAACTTTGACAATATTAAAAAATTGTAGCTATATTTGTTGTGTATTGGTACCTCAGTGTAATTCAATTTACTTTTTCCTGATGATTAATGATGTTGAACATGTTTTCACATGCTTATTAGCTATTTTCTTTTTGTGAACTAAGATCTAGGTACTAGATGTGCTCACTGTTGCTGGGCTGTCATTGTTTCTAGGTGCTCTCAGCAGACAGAGCTAAGGAAATATATATACAACTATATTTCTATATTTATGTGTAACATATATATTGGGTTGGCCAAAACATTCATTCAGGTTTTTCCATATGATCTTATGGGAAGACCTGAACAAACGTTTTGGCCAACCCAATATTAACAACCATGAGTTGTTATGCTTTTACCTCCAATTCCAATCCAATACTACAAGATTCATTCTGGGTTTCCTTCTTTCCTTAGTTGTAACTCCTTTCTCTGACAATAGGAAACCTGGCTCTCATTATCAATAGTGAATTTATTTGTTTTCTCAATGCTAGAATATACATAAAGTAGTTTTGAAATTGCTTAACTATACCCCTGTAGAGAAATAAGACCTACTAACTGGAGTATAGAATACAATCTTTATGTACTGTTTTTTTTCTTTTAATTTTAGTCTTAGAATATGCTGTTTTCTAAATTTATTTGTTTTTTTTTTCTATCCCCCTTTAGTGTGGATATGTTATTTATTTGTAATACTGCTAGGTTCGTTTTCTTCTGCTTATATTCCATCTTGTCCCCTTCTCAGTCCCATCCTAGTTTGTTGAATATGTAAAACATTAACAAAGTTCTAAAAGTCAGACTACAAAGAGATTTACTCACAGAAGTGTAGGGTTTTTCCTTTCTTTCCCCTTTGGAGTCAGGTTTGGTAAGTTTTATTTTTAATTAATTTGCTCTTTTTGTCTGAGTTGTTTAATGTATTGGCAAAAACTTAATCTTTTTAATGTCTGTAGGATCTGTTGTGATAGCCTAACTCCTGATATACATAACTCTTGCTTTCTCTTTTTTGCATGATCATTTTTGCCATGGGCTTATCAATTTCATTTACATTTTTAAATAACTAAGTTTTGGTTTTGTTAATTTTCTCTATTATTTCTCTGCTTCATTGATTTTTGATCTTATTATTATTTTTTCCTCTCAGCTCTTTTTGGAGAGTTGCTTTTCATTTTCTAGTTTCCTAAGGTGGAAGCTTAGATCATCTTAAATTTTTCATCTTTTCTATTTTCACATTTATAGCCATATATTTCCCTGTAAGTACTGTTTTGGTTGCATTCCACAATTTTGTAATGTTGTGTTTTCATTATCATTCAGGTTGAAATATTTCCTTGTGATTTCTTATTTGACCCCATGCGTTATTTTGAAATGTTGTATTTAATTCTTAACTATTTTGAGAGTTTTTTTCTAATTTCTTAATTAAATTCTAATTTATTTCTGTTGTGGTAAGAGATAAAAGATTTCAAAAGACTGAAATCTTTCAGAGAACATACTCTGAAGATTTCAATCTTTTTAAATTTATTGAAAATTTTCGATAGTCCAGTACGTGTTCTGTCTTGCTGAACTTTCCATGTACACCTTAAACAAACATGTATTCTGAATTTTTTTTGATGCCCTGTTCTGTAAAGTCAATTAGGTCAAGTTTGTTGACAGTGTTGTTTAGATCTTCTATATTGTTACTGATTTTTTTCTATTTCTTCTATCAATTACTAAGAAATAGGTGAAAACATCTCTGAGTACTATCAAATTTTGCTTCATGAGTTTTGAGAAAACTCATAAATACATACACAGTTTAAGGTACACAAATATTTAGGATTTTTGTATCTTCCTAGTGAACTGCCCTTTTGTCAGTTTGTAATTTCCTCTTTTGTCTCTTGTAATACTCTTTGTATTGAAATTCATCTTGTCTTGTATTGATATAGCCATGCCAGCTTTCTTATGCTTACTATTGGCATGGTAGATCTTTTACCATCTTTACTTTTAACCTATCTGTGTCTTAGATTTAAAATGCGTGGCCTTTTAGATAGCACAAAGTTGGGTATTACTTTTTTATCAGGCTGGAAAATGTCTACCTTTTAAATGATACTTTTAATCTATTTACATTTAACACAATTATTGATATGACTCAGTTTAATACTAACATCTTGTTCTTGGTTATTTACTAATCCATTTTGTTTATGTTTTTGCTACTTTCCTGCTTTACTTTTTGGCGAATCAAATAGCTTTTTAGTGTTACATTTTATTTCCTCTATTAGTTTTTTTATCTATCTATCTATCTATCATCTACCTAGTTTATAACTAAGATATGTACCATTAACTTACAGTCTATTTAGAGACAATAGTGTACTTCTTCATGCTTCATGTCTTACACTTGACACTTCATCTTTCTTACCTTAATCTTTCCTCTTCTTTATAACTGATTCTTTATATTCCATACTTGGAACTACATGTTACAAAAATTTTGCAACCATATAATTCCACTTATCTGCACCCTCTGTATCTGCATAATTGTTTTCACATCTTTTCCTTCTTCATATGCTATAATCCCTAATTTAAGTGTTACTATTTTGCTTTAAACAGTTGTTTTTGAAATAATTTATGAGAAAAAAGAAAACATAATATTTTATTTCTATCTGCTTGGTAAAATTTTCAGTGTTCTTTATTCCTTAGTGTGGATCTGAGTTTTTGTTTTTTAATAACCCCTTCACCTTGTATGACATTCTTTAGCATTTCTTACATTGCAGTTTTGCTGTCTATGAATTCTCTGATTTCGATTATCGGAAAATGTCTCTATTTCAACAAATTTTTGAAGGTTATTTTCCCTGGATATACAATTCTAAGTGGTCATTTGTTTTTCTCTTAGCACTTTAGAGATATTACTGCACTGTCTTTAGTCCTCCATGTTTTTGATAAGCAATTAGTGAATATGTGGTGAATATGGAATATGCTTATACTTTTCCCTCTATATGTAAAGTGTCTTTTTTCTCTGGCTGCTTTCAAGAATTTCTCTTTATCTTGACTTGAAGTAGTTTGACTACAAGTTGCCCAGATGTAGTTTTCTTAACAGTTATGCTAATTGGAATTTTTTGAAGTTCTTAGAACAGTATGGAGGTAGTTTACATTAAATTTGGAAAGTATTTGACCACTATTCCTTTTAAAATGTTTTGGCCCGAACTCATTCTTTTTTCCTCTGGGATTCTGATTACATGTATGCTAGACTGTCTTATATTGTACTACATGTCTCTTAGGCTCCATTCATTTTAAAGTCTTTTTATCTCCCTGTTCATCATATTGGATAATTTCTGTTGATCTGTCTTCACGTTCATTAACTCTTACTTTTGCTATATCCAATCTGCTGATAAGCTCTTCTGATAAATTTTTCATTTTTCTTATTGTAATTTTAATTTCTAAAAATTTCCATTTGGTTCTTTTATATAGCTTCAATTTTCCTGCTGAGATTTCATATTTATATACTCCTTAAAACCATATTTTTCATTAATTTAAATATGTTCATAATTTAAAGTTTTCTCTGCTAAGGTCAATAACAGGATCATCTCAGGTTCAGTTTTTATTGATGGCTTTCTTTTTTCTTTTCTATGAATTACATTTTTTAAAATTTATACCTCTTCTTTTATTAAAAAAAAGCCCTGAACACTGGACTTTAAAGATAATCTGTTGTATATTCTGGATTCTGTAATATTCCTTCGATGAGTGTAGGTTCTTGTTTTAGCAGGCAGTTTGATTACTGGCATGAACTTGTGGTAAGCTTGGTTTTCTGCTTTTTTTCAGTGTTGACCTATAGTTAGCCCAAGGTGTTTTCTAAGGCTCTCAGTAGGACTAAGCCTACAAACTCTGTCTTCTGTGGGGCTCCTGTAGGGGCTTGGTTTTAAGCTTTGCTGGGGCCTGTCTAGAGTAGGTCTTACTCTAAGTCATAGTCCTTACTCATTATACCTCTTGGGTGTCACAGCAGGATGCCAGGTGTTTTAACAAAGTGTTAAGGAGACCTTTCCACTCTGGCAGGGCAGAACTCAAACATCCTCAGTTTGGCTTTTTCCTGGCTCTGCTCAATCTCCAGTGTCTCTGTTCTGCCTTCAAAGTGCTAAAACCAGTTATCTTGTATGCCTTGAGTGGTCTTGCCCTGCACATGTACAGCTCATCTCTCAGCCACAGACTTTTGGAGTCCCTCACTCCCTCTGAGGTTACCTCTCTATGCAGCTACCTCCTCTTCAATGACCCACCATACACATCCCCGCAGCTCTGGCTGCCATGAATTCTGATCTTTGCACCCCTCAGTTTGACAGGACTGCTTGCTTGCTTTGCAGAGATTGTAGCCAGAAAATCAGTCTCCTGGGCAATCATGAGAGATATCTCATACATTTTGTTTTTCTCTGAGATTATAGTCATACATTTTGTTTTTCTCTGAGATTATAGTCTTAGGCTGCCTATTGTCTACTCCCTGAAATCAGTTGCCTCATTTTTCTGCCCAGTATTTGTATTCTTACAGTGGGAGGATTTGTCTGATACTACTTATTCCATTTTGGCTGGAAGGGGGACTAGTTAATTCCTAATGATTAAGAGTATTAACGGGCTTCCCTGGTGGTGCAGTGGTTGAGAGTCCGCCTGCCAATGCAGGGGATGCGGGTTCGTGCCCTGGTCCGGGAAGATCCCACATGCCGTGGAGCGGCTGGGCCCGTGAGCCATGGCCGCTGAGCCTGTGTGTCCGGAGCCTGTGCTCCGCAACAGGAGAGGCCGCAGTGGTGGGAGGCCCGCGTACCGCAAAAAAAAAAAAAAAAAAAAAAAAAGAGTATTAACTTTGGATTCCAGTAGACGTAGGTTGTAGCCTCTAATCTGTGTGTTTAGGGGCTTCTTAGTTTCTCAGATTCTCAGTTTCCTTATTTATAAATTGGGACTAATGCCTATCTGAAAGGGTTGTTAATAAGATAATATTAAGTGTATAGCAGATAGCTAATAAATATTAGCTACTACTACTTAATGTTTCTTAGTAAAATTATTTATATTGTTTGTAATTTTATACATTGTTAAAATTTTTCTCTTATTCCACATTACAATGGAGGTCTGTAGAACTCAGTTCTTTGTAAATTAGTCTTGTGTTTATGACTTTATTTTAGAAAGTATATTTCTGTTTTAGAAAACATTTCTAAGAGAGCTTAAAGAATTCTCTATGGAAAAGTAGATAATAACCCAATAATGTAAAAAAGAAAACGAATTTTAACATGGTGAATTTCAGCATGAAGTACTAGCTAAAAGCTATGCAATATTATTGAAAGTGGAAGAGATGGAAGCTTTCAAGCTTTGCTAGTGGTTGTTAGTTTTTAATTATTTGTGCAGGGGTAGGGACTTGGGGACAGAGTGATCAGAGAGTGACAACGTAATTTATTTTCAATTTTGGAATGTGTTGTTTACCTTTGGAGAAGATTTACCATCTTAATAATGTTTGGTTTGTGTTAACATTCAAATAAATGCTTTCCCCCCCGGAAGCAACTGTTAATTATTAGCAAGGAGAATCTGCGTTGCAAAGAAGCATGATAGGCTTCAGGACAAAGCAACACGAAATTTATAATTTAAAATGATCCACATGTGGACAGTTGTGAGAATTGACTATACTGAGAATATTCTACCTTATTAAAAGAAAGTGTGACTCCTTAATAATTTAATACCCTATATAATGACTCATACACACACACACAGACACACACACACACACAAACAGAAAAACACCAAACAACTGGAGCAGAATTATCTTATTTGCAACTTACATAGGAATCAAAGGAAAGGAAGTAATTAGCGTGTATTGAAGGTCCATTATGGGCCAGAGAAGGTGAAAAGTATTTTATCTGTTAACTTAGACAACCACTTCCAGATACATGTATAATCATTCCTGTTTCGCAGACAAGGACCCTGAATACCAAGGATTAAGACACTGTCCAGTTTAAGCAGCTGGGAAGTGATAGAGTATAGATTTGAACTCCGGCCTGTTTGACTCCACTGTCCTTGCATTTTCCACTCTATTATTTTTGAATAGCAGGCAAATTTTACTTACTGTAGACATTTTCTTCTTCTGGCCTTTTCCCAATAATGCAGTCTCGTAGTTGGCGTAGTTTTTTCTTAATGAGGGAACAACCAGGAAACAGAAGTCAAATTTCACAAATTTGTCATGGATTAAGATGAAAACTTTAACTGCTACCACCAGTACCACCACTACTACTTAGCGTTAATTTGGTACTTACAATGTCCCAATCACCGTCCTTGATACTTTACATGTATTATTTTACTTAATCCTCACAACTTCATGAAGTGGATAAAAAACATCATCATCTCGTTTTACAGATATGGAATCTGAGCTACAGAGAGGTTAAGTAACTTTCCCAAATCACACAGTTATAAGTGTTAGAATCAGGGTAGAAACCCAGAGCCCAATTCTTTTGGGAGCTGTTTTCCCAATCGAACACCTGAGGCATCTACATTGGCTATTTGGTGTCCAAAAGCAGGAGGCCAACACAGTGATGGTCTGCTGCTGTCTGAGCCGATCTCCAGCCTCTGCAGGGTACACGCCTTACTAGAAATTCCTTCTAAGAGCCAGGGACATGGTAGCAAATGATACACAAACTGGATTCCCTTCTTAACTCACCTGTGACCTTTCTTTGCTTTCCAAATATTCTACATTGAACATCTATTCACTATTTAACTGAAAGGTAAAGCAAGCTAGCATTCAAAAAATCTGCTTTTAGAAGAGAATCTAGAGTAGCGCTTTTCCTAAGGGTTGCCCCTGAAGCCTAGCAACCATTTTTCCTAGAGCTGTTTTCATTGCCTTAAAGATCCCTTCCTATAAGTGGAGCAAGGGACTCACTGATTGTGAGTAGGAGTGAGGAGAGCTAAAGGCAAGGTTTTCTCAGCCATCTCACCTTTGACTCCAGGGATTCTACATGGGTCTTCATTATCCTAGAAACTCTTCCACTATTAACTCTGTATTTGTGCCATTTTTTCTCCTATTTTCCTAGGATAATAACTCTGTCAAGAATAATATAACTTTACAGCTACCTCTGAGAGATTCATTCTCAGGATACAGATGAACATTTTTGTAAACTACAAGAGTAATATTGAAAAGTATATGGGGATGAGCGCATGTTGGGAAAACAGGGAGAACATTCATTTTTTGTTGTTGTGACTTTTGTTCAGGCTCTTATGTTAAGGACTGACTAAAAAAACACAGGGAAAAAGCTCTTTGACATTGGTCTTGGCAATGATGTTTTGAATATGACTGAAAAAGCACACGCACCAGAAGCAAAAATAAACAACTGGGACTACATCAGACTAAAAAGCTTCTGCACGGCGAGGAGACAACCAGCAAAATGAAAAGGCACACTATGGACTGAGGGAAAATATTTGCAAATCATGTATCTGAGAAGGAGTTAATATCCAAAATATATAAAGAACTCACACAACTCAGTAGCAAAACATCCCATATAATCTGATTAAAAAATGGGCAGAGGAACTGAATAGACATCTCTCAAAGAAGACATAAAAATGGCCAACAGATACATGAAAAAATTCTCAACATCACTAATCAACAGGGAAATGCAAATCAAAGCCACAGGAGGATCCTACCTCAGAACTGTTAGAATGATTATCATCAAAAGGACACGAGGTAAGAGATAAGGTTATGGAGAAAAGGGAAGCCTTGTGCAGTGTTGGTGGAAATGTAAACTGGTACAGCCATTATGAAAATAAGTATGGAGGTTCCTCAAAACATTAAAAATAGTACCACCATATGAGTCAGCAATCCTACTTCTGGGTATTTATCCAAAGGAAATGAAATCAGGATTTCAAAGAAATAGCTGCATTTCCATGTTCACTGCAATAGCCAAGATATGGAAACCACATAAGTGTCTATCAACAGATGAATGGATAAAGAAGATGTGTTATGTATGTATATATATGTGTGTGTGTGTGTATGTGTATGTATACACACATACACACACACACACACACAATGGAATATTATTCAGCAAGGAGAAAGAAGGAAATTCTACCATTTGCGGCAACATGGATGGACCCTGAGGGCATTATGTTAAGTGAAATAAGTCATATAGAGAAAGACAAATACTGTGTGATCTCACATATGTGAACTCTAAAAAAGCCAAATTCATAGAAACAGAGTTGAATGATGGTTATCAGGGGCTGAGGAGTGGATGAAATGGGGAGATGTTGATGTTGGTCAAAGGGTACCAACTTCCAGTTATAAAATAAAAAGGTTCTGGGGATCTAATGTACAGCAGGATGATTATATTTAACAGTACTGTATTATATATATATTACATTTAGCAACTTGACAGTTGCTAAGAGAGTTAGCATTATATGTTCTCGTCACACAAAAATGGTAATTTTGTGACATCATGGAGGTGTTAGCTAATGCTATGGTGGTATATCACATCAACCCGTTATACACTTTAAATTTAGACAAAGTCAATGATATCTCAATAAATTTGGGAAAGAAATGGAAAAGAACTGACTGATTCCTCCCAAAGTCCTCAGTCAGAGTCACAAACTTTGGACTCTGATGGAAAGTAATCTTAGTGTTTGTTCTTGTATTTACAGGTTAAATTTTGTTTTGTTTTGCTTACTATATTCATTATCCCATTATCCCTATATATTAGATAAGCCACACTGGTCTCAGAGTAGTTGAGTATAGACCACCTTAAATTCTTTCTAAAACAGTATTGAATATAAATACACAAATAACATGTAAACAACCAAGGGTTTAATAAAGCAACTAGTGAAACCTTACCAAGAAGGTATTTAGGTTGGATCACTTTAAATTGTAAACTTTATTATTGAAGGGTCTAAGAAGGATGAAGTACAATTGACTTAACAAAACGTATATAACTTATTTTCTAGCATTGCTAGGAAAGTGATTTGTAAGTCTGCACTTAGGCACATCTTACCCATTTCGGCATAAGAAGGATGCTTGATGGTGATGGCAATGGTGTGGATTGAAAGCAATACTGTACCGTGAACAACAATCCGTTACAGAACTCTACAATCAGCACTCTTAGCATTTGTTTGGCAAAAGAACTGCCCTTGCTTAACACTGCAAAATCTTGACCAGGTCCAGTCACCTAACCACAACAAGAGCTATCCATAGAGACAGGTGATTTCTGACAAGGCTTGTGATCTCAGATGTATTGGAAAAGTCCCTTGCCTAAACTATATCCTGTTTATATGCCATATTGCTTGAATCACCATTATGATTCATTTCCCTGTTGTTTAAAAATGTTTTCTTAAGCATTATTTTTAAATAAAAATGATCCTTGGGAAAGGTAGCATATTACGCTATTAATGATTATTTATACGTAGGCCTAATGTAGCTAATGAAATGTGTTTAATCAAACAGCTGCCTGAGAACTGGCTTTTAAGGTACTGGGGTTTTATATGATGAGAAGAAAAAAGACTGGTAAAACATTTTGGGAGTGGGAAGGCCTATTGGATAGCTAGAATATGGTCCTGGTACCCTCACTGAGGAATGTCATGGGGTGTATATTATATTACACAGAGTATATTTTGTTTTCATTCTCCTCTTAGAACCACCTACTGTAGTCCCCTCTCAGGATGTAAGTTATGTTTAAAGAAGACAAGCTTATCTGAAGTTAATACTCTCGGCATAATTTCTCTGTAAATCCTGACCGATGTATATATATTCATATATATGCAAATCCTGATATATATATATTTATGTATGTACATATTTATATACATGCAAATCCTGATATATATGTATATATATATTTTTATTTTTCCAAAGGTTAAGGAGAAGAGAAGATAAAACTTATTAAATATTACTTAGGACTATTGTCTGATATGATTTCAAGCATTTTCTTGTTCCCTTTAAGTCTGGTCTACATAATACATTCTTCAGAATTCTGAGCACGTTAGTGTAAAGATGCTTCACCTTAATTTCAGCAATGAGATTCATAAAACATGCACTGTACTAAGGACAGCCTTATAAGTTGATTAGGTATTAGCTCTGATATACATGGTCTCAGCATTGAGTTCATCGATGGTTTGTAAACATGAAATCTGGGTATTGTCGAGCTTCTAATTGGTAGTTTAAAACCTCTTTTTTGTGTGTGGCTAGTTAAAAACAAAAGAACAGTTACCTGTATTTCTTGTTAAGAGAAAGAGGCTTACAAAGATGCTGGAGCTCTGCACCTGAGGGAATGCTCCAGAAGGGATTGGGGTCTGTATTACCTGCTGACTTATTTCCAGGCCAGTCTTCCCCATCTGCCAGTGTTTAAATTTCTCCAGGGCTTCGTCCACAGAGAGTTTCCCATTCTTGACTTTCTCTTGCAGGAGGATGAGTTCCTCCTGCCCAGCAGCAAGGCAGCCCCTTACGGTGGTAAAGCCTTGACTCTCCATCCGAGATCTGTCTACAATATGAGGGAAGGGTGTTTTAATGAGAAGTCTGCGTATGACAACTGGAAAAAAAAAAGCACTCTAAAAAATAAGCAGTTTGAGTTTCTTGTTCTAGCTAGTCTATAAGCAGTTACAGAATAAATCAGTACAAATTTTTTAATGAGCTTCTTTCTAAGGATGGTCATGCCTCAGACCTAGTGTTATGGGTGAAAAGAATATGTCTCATCACTGAAAAACATAAAGGGATGAGGAGAGAAATAACAGCAAAAGTTCTGCACTAGGCTGGTGGTGGGCAGTGCCAATGTCATGTTCTTTTGTGAGGATTACTTTTAATTAGGTCCACAAAATACTTAGCATAGGGCCTGCTGCATAGTAAGCTAAATAAGAAAGAGTTAACACTATCATTACTAATAAATTTTTATGGAATAAACACAATCTCTCCAGCTTTGGGAAAAAAGATCTCAACCAACATCCAAATGTCACAAGAGGTGCAGGATCATTTGAGAATTTATTCCTGAAAGATTTAAAATAAATAATTGCTGGTCCTTTTGTCGTGACCTGCTTCCTTTTCAAAAGAGTTTATTTTGGAACATGCTATATATTATTTGCTCGGCACGATGAGAACATTCGATGGTCTGATGTCTCTTGTGTGGCTGCTAATGCCACACCAGACACTGGCCTGAGGAACAGTGAGAGCAAATTGCAGACCACGGGTGAGTCAGTATTCTGATGGTGCTTAAAGACATAAATGAAGCTGTATGCTTTTAGGGACTCTCTGTACTCTCCAGGCTACCCCAATCTCTGTTACTCCCTATAAGTCTCTGGATGACTTCACACTTGTACTGCCTGCCTGGCTGCAGAACTCATTTGAGTTCTCATTTACATATTTCTCCTAAGTCCAACATACTTATTGCATTATCTCAGCAGGGATTGGATGGCTCAGCAGCAGCACAGGTCGTATGCACTATCAAATCCAAACATGCCCAGAGTCTAGAAGGAGAGAAGAGGTAGTCCTGCCAAGCTGTAGGCAAGTTGGTAGTAAATTGGGCCTATCGCTGGAGAAATTGCTCATTACTGGGAACTCTTTTTCAAGAAAGAAGTAGATCAATTAGACTGTATCTAGACCTGATTGACGGGATTTGTGAAATGGGGAGGGCATTCAAATTCTATAGTAATAAAGATTCATTGATAGGATTGGTTAGTCTGGAAATGAGAAGTTCAAGTACTTGATAGCAGTTTTAAGTATTTGATGGGAACTTGAGCCTTGGGGCAGTCTTGGAATGACCTCTCATGTCCCTTTCAGTTTTGAGATTCCAGCAGTGAATCTTGGAACAGGGGCACAGAGAGGATTCTTTTTTTGTAAAGGCTCACATGCACATAAAACTGCTCCATGGCCAATCATTCTGATTCCCACGGGGGCTTTCTTGGCTTGTCTTTTCACTTCAGAAGTCCTATATCCCCAGAACTAACAAGATGTCAACAGATTCTATACTCTTAAATCTTTTCCTTCAGGGATGACAGGACATGAAATCCCACGAGAATTGGAGAAGCAAAAGTCAGCCAGAGGGCTCAGTGGTTCAGCAGCCAAAAGCACAGGTAACAATTGAGATCTTGCTTCTTGTACCACTTGCTTTTTATAGGTCTCCACAATCCAATTCAATTCGTAAGATGCTGTTTGCAGTAGAATTCCATGTGCCATTCCTGCCAGAGTGTGGAGGTTTAGCATCGTCATTTAACAGCTATGCCATTTAACTAGCACCTCACTTCTGTCATCCCTTTGCCTAAGTGTGAATCCATTTTTATCGCAAATACCCATGCAGCTGGATTTTCTGCTTTTATAGAAGTTATCTCAAGCCAAGCCTTCCCAGAAAATGGTACCAACTTCAGTTTTGCTATATGTGCACGTTTAGCTGAATTTAAAAAAAAACATTGAATTCTTTTAATAATATTCATTTCAATTATCCCTTCATATTTCAAATTTTAGCTACGAAAATATAAGTAAGATGACTTTTTGGGGGGAGGCAGGATTCAGTTTTGCATGGTTGTGCAGAGACAACAAAAGAACAAAATTCAGGAGTGGCAGAAGTTGTAGACAGATTGAGTCCCGAAAGTGAGTTGTTTACAACTAGACTAATTTTACATACATCTGCTTTTTCTTCTTTTTTTTTTTCCCCACACTAAAAACATTAAAACCAATTGTCTTGATAAATTACCATTAGGCATGACAAGCTGCAAAGAAAAATGATTAGGCCTTTTACCTCCTTTCTTTCTAAGGGCAGACTAATCAAACCAAAACATGCAACCTGTAATTTTTGGAAGGCTGTGCAGAATTTCTTTATTGCATTTAGATGACTATTTTATGGGGGGTGGAAGGGTTTTTCCTTGCTCCTCAAATTTGTATTTATTATTAGTTTATTCTCATAAGAGTTAGTTTGAGTTTAACATAGTTTTCATTGAAAAGCATTTGTCATACTGCTATTTGCCCACACGGCAGACTTGTTCTCTTATCGTAAAAGCTTCAAGACAAACTACAGTTTCTAAAGTTTTAGTTCCTTTCAGATCAATTCTTCTTTACAAGATTTTCCATTTGATCAAGTTTTGGTCAAATTAACATCAAGCAACCCGTCTGGTGGACATATGAATCTAGAGATTAGGTGAGAAAGCAAATTGAGCTTTTCATAAAAGTTCTTTCTACTACCAAGTGACTGGCTAGAAGAACATTTTTCTTGAAAAACTGAAAGTCAACAACTTGATTGGCCAACACCAAAGAACTTAAAATGTGAAATATTTACTTAGTAAATATTAGGTAGTCATTGAAATAATAATAATTTAAAAGACCAAGTGTAACGGAGAGTGTGCTTATTACACAAGGACAAGTACAAAAGCAGGATGCAAAATTGTATATATAGTAAAATTTTAACCATAAAAATGTTGTGCATATAATAAAGCAGGCAGGAACAGTTTTAAAGATGATACAGGTCGTTCTATTGTGATGGTATCAGAAGTGATTACCTTTTTCTAATTTCCAACTTTCTGAAATAATACTATATTGCTTTTACAATAAGAAATTTCTCCCACTTCGCGAATAGGTTTCTCCATGGAATACACCCTTCCAAGCTATGCCAGATATACTATACCATGCCATACCATACTGTACTATCTTACCAAATTATTTTGTGAGCAGCTGGAACAAACTTGAAAGTAATAAGGACTTAAAAAAAATCAGTGACCAAGGTTTAAATCTGAAGTTACTTTTTTGTTCCGTATCTAAGAAATTGGCAGCAAATGAGCTCAGGCTCACATGAGCAAATTAGGAGATGTAGTGTTGATGTATTTGTAACTTCCAAGCAAAGTATCCACATCTCCTTAACCTACAGCTGCTATTGACGGGTTCTCTCCTTGACTAAACTTTAGTCAGGCTCCTGAGTCCTTTTCCTAACTAGGGCTCACCTTTCGTACTTCCATGTCTGTCTTTGCATTGCTCAGTTTTCATAAGAATCCTGCTGTTGCTTTAGCCAAAATTCCCCACCCTTGATATCGGATCACCTTCAATATCTGTTTGGGTTCTTTTATCTTCCATCATCCCCCTGATGTGATCTGATCACTTGGCCTGCCTGGAGTAAGAATCCTGGTCAGTCAGTTTAGGGAGAATCTCTCTCACCCCTGGTGTTCTCAGTAATTTCCCATCCACTTCTCACCCCTCCCACACACTCTGCTCCTGGGTTATAAATTCGCATTCTTCCTTGTGGCATATTCAGAGTTGAGACCACTCTCTCCCATACTGTAAAATCCCGTAGCAGCAATCCCTATATTGTTGTATATAATCCCCTGAATAAAGTTGGCCTTACTGTTTGACAAGTGGCAGGATAATTTTTTCATTGACAATATATTCTTTGCCACTTCACTTTAATTGTAAATTCAGAAGGTGAGTCCCCATGCCCTGCCCCACCACCATTTAGAAAACACAGACATGTACTAAGAAAGAAAATGACTATCACTCACTACTACACTCTTCAGAAATATGGAGTATTAACATTTTGATGTTTCTCCTTTTTAAGTGTACATTGCTTTCTGTTCTTCTCTTTCTTTTTCTGAACTAGGTTTATACTGGTATGTTTCCAGCTCTTTTCTCTTATCCCTATAGCCTAAGAATGTTTCCATGCCATTAAATATTCTTTGAAACATGAGTTTTAGTGGCTGTATTATATTCTGAAATTTGTATATTCAATCAAGTATTTAACCATTTTCCTACTGTTGGCTATTTTGTTGTTGTTTCCAGTTTTTCCCACAGTTATGTACTATTGGTGCTTAAAAGTCTTTAACATAAATCATTGGCTGTATTGCTATTTATTTTCTTAGGATAGACTCCTGAAAGTCTAATTTTTGAGTATGTACACTTTTAAAGCTGTTGATACTTAGTGATCAACTCCTTTCCTGGAAATGTGTTGTTAAATACCTCTCACCAGTTGGATAAGGGAATGACTGATTTGATGCACTTTTGATAATATTTTGCATTATTCAAGTTAAAAAAAAAAGCACAACAACTTTTAGTAATTTGATAACCTAAACCATTCTTTCACTGTTAAGTGATTCTTGTGTCAATGTAATGCTAAATACTGTAGCTTTAAGCACTGCATAAATACTAGACCTTAATACACATGGCAAGTGGTGCTGACTTAATCTCTTTATTTTCCTAAATAGTTGAGTTTGAAATAACTCAGTGACAAAACTTGTCCTGGGTTACCTTTTGAGTTAAAACTTAATACAAATATTCCTTAGTTATTGGTCTAGTAATATTTTAAAAATTCCTTTCATCACCTGACATAATTTTTTTAATAAGTTGACTTTGTTTTATTAACACACTCTATTATTTAGCGTAGTTTTAGGTTCATAGTCAAACTGAGTAGCAGGTACAGAGATCTCCTGTATACCTCCAGTCCCACATATGAGTAGCCTCCCCCATTATCAACACTGCTCACCACAGGGGTACATTTGTTACAGCTGATGAGCTTAC